CCTGCTGAGTCCGAAACTCCAGCAAACCCTGTTCATGTTTCAAGGATCCATTTTGGTAAGGAGTAGCCTGGTTTTTCTGTTGATTCAAATTACTCAGCAGATGCTTGCATTTCTTTCTTTTTTTCTTTTTTCTTTTTTCTTTTTTTTTAAATTCTTTTAGTACACTTAGTGATCTAGATGAAGTTACTGTTACTTTACACATCTTATCTGTAAAAATTAGTATTATTAAAGTAAGAGATTGACCATTGATTCTAGAGATTGAAACAACTTAAGTAAATTGTTGGAATTTAAGAGGTGCATTGCTGACAGAAATAGTATTTCTGTTGTAACTTGAAGTACTGTGACCAGTAGGTGATCAAACTTGATCCGTATCCCTGATTTATTATAATGAATAATAAAAGCATAAAGTGTTTAGGTACTCTTGTGCTTTGTTTCATGTCCATCCTGATAATCTTCAGAATCTCAAAAGTGTGTGCTAATAGTAGTGTTTTTACCATGTGTTGAGACATACAATTTAGCAAGTGGTTGACCATGCCTGTTTGGTTTTTATTCCCCCTGCAAATTTGTGTTTTGCTGGCTTTTATTTTATTTAACAGGATCACAGTTTATGTATCAAAAACTTTCACGAATGCTTGAACAAGTATTTAACAGCCTGACTGCCAAATATCCTGAGTACAAAAGTTGTGGCAGTTCGCTGGCTGCCTTCATCATTGAAAAAGGTGAGTCTGTTTCAATAGCGAGTATTGGGGAGCGGGAAACCTAAGCTCTGTGTTCCCAGAGGGCCTCGATTAATGCATTTCTCATCTGGTACATAAATGTGAAGGGTAGCTCTGCTTCTGTGGCATACTCTCTTCTGGTGGCTGGAGTGATTCATGAAGGATGGTATCCTGTGGGAGGGACTCTGTGTCGGAGCAGGGAAGAGTGTGAGGAGGAAGGAGCGGCAGAGACCGAGTGTTAGGAACTGACACTTCCCGGTACCCCTGCGTGGCTTGGGCAGGGAGGAGAGGAGGTGGAAGAGTCAGAAGTGAAGTTGAACCTGGCAGGAAAAGAGGATGAGGGCACGGTGATTTTAATTTTGCTCTGTTTCTCACTATCATACTTTAATTGGCAATAATTAAATTAATCTTCTCCATGTTGAGTCTGTTTTGCATGTGATGCTAAATGGCAAGTGATCTCCCTCTCCTTATCTTGACATACGACATTTTATTCCCCCCTCCCTGGTCCTGCTGGAGTCAAGGGACATGAGAGAGCAGCTTGGTGGGCACCTGGCAGCTAGACAAAGTTAACCCACCACAATAATGTAAAAACAAACGTGTTTTGTTTTTTGTTTGGTTTTTTTTTTTCAGATGGACAGCATGAAGTGGTAGCTATAGGAACTGGAGAATGGAACTGCAGCCAGTGCATGCAACCTTATGGGAGAGTGTTGCATGACAGCCATGCTGTCGTCGTTGCAAGGCGCTCTCTACTTAGGTGAGAACTTGTGTACAAATAGTTAACAGTTGTCTTGCAGCCAGTTCTCAGTTTTACTTTTGCAAATGTAGATATAAGTGCACTTGCATTTTATAGTTAGTACTTTCTGGATCATTTTCAAGTAATAACTAAACTAAATGTGAATGTCTGTGTATTTATAAACAAAGTAATATTTTTCATATTTACCATTACTTAACACTTTGGTTTAGATATTTTTATAGACATCTTTTGCTGTTCTATAATAAAAATCCAGCGAAGACAGAGAGATCCATATTTTGCACAGCACCAGACTCGAAACTGCTTACACTGAAGCAAAATACAAGTATTTTTCTCTACATGAATCAGCTGCCAAAAGGAACTGCTCAATTAAAATCACAGGTGTAAGTACCTTGGTGTTTTCAGAGATGTAGTGGATTAATTTGTTTGCAGTGACAAACATATTGTGACTGTGGAAAGTATGCATCATTACATGTTTCGAAGATGGGGGGGCTATTCTGATTAATGCTTCCAAAACGTGACAAAAAAGATCAATGTACAGGGTGGTAGTGATCAGTGTACGAGATAGAGCTCAACATGACAATACAAAAAACTTTGACATGGGTTATAGCTTCAGGATGATGCTTTGTTTATTACAGATATCTGCTTACCTATTAACCCCCCTCCCAAGATACTATTAAAATACTAGTAAATCCCTAATTACTGAGCAAGTGGATATGGTGACTTAGTGTAATCCTTTGTACCACAAGATGAGAATATAAAAGCATTAGATAGAAACAATAGGCTCCTCCTCTGCTTTGTAGAAAAAAGGTAATGAGAGAAGCGTGATGGGACAAATATGCTGCTTTGCTTATCTTTCTAACTTTGATTGCATTTCTGAAAGTTTATATATACAGGTGCATATATATAGTTTTGACATTTAACAGCAGCATTCACTGGTTTACCAAGTTATTGTGGACAACATTTTTTTGTTTCCCTTTTAGTGGTGTAGTGGAATAATGTCCCTGAAAGCTGTACAGTCAACTTTTATCATATGTGCAAGACCGCTAGCTGTTTTCATCCTGTGTTTGTGGTGTTCGGAAGACAGGCTTGTGAACTGGAGGTCGCAGCCTGTTCATTGCAAGTTGTGCTGACTAGGGGAGCCCCTTCTGTTAGAACTGCAGAAGGGTTTATGTTACTTTCAGTGTCACAGCCTGCTCTGACAAGGAAATGGTTGGTAAGACTGGATGCAGTTTGTAATAGTTGATGAATCACAGATTCAGCACTTTCTCTCTTTTGTTCATTCTGGTCAGTATGGGTGCTCGAGACAAACTCTGGGAATTATTTTCTTCTAATACAGCAGATTTGCTTATGTAGAGAGTTATTTAAAGGTAGTTTTTGGAAGGGAGCTGCTTACAAGTAATCCATTGAATAGGGAAATGTGGCCACTTTTTAACAGGTTAGAGCATGTTACTTAAGCCAAAGTTACATGGTTATGTTATGGTAATGTAGTCAAGCAAAAGCACCTTTGATCATAACGTTGCAAATTATACTAAAATTGGGAAGGGTTAGCTCAAAACTTCAGCCTTTGACTTCATATCACCTTGTAATTAAGGCATAAAACTATGGTTTGCATCAGAACATCACTGTTTTGTTTGCCTAATGTTTTGCATTTGCTTGTTTTAAGTATTTTGGAGAATTGCAGTGTAAGTTATGTTTAAAGGAGATTAACAATCTTATAGCTGCATTTTCATAAGGTGAACAGCTTCCAAGTAGCTTCTGTCATAGTATAAGTAGACATGAAGCAATAGCTTGTTTGTAGAACATGCTGATCTATTTCAGTGTTTGCACAGCTGATGGCTAAGATTAGCCTGAATTACTATTCCTTACTTAAACACTGATTTCAGTATTCTAGTCACTTGAGCAGCTGAACGTGGCATTTACAAAATTTACAAATACTGAACATAGTGTAAGGCCTAGATCTATTGATAATTGTTCTCTGAGAAAGGGTATTAGATACCACTTTACAATAATCTCTGATGAGAGTATTTTTTCGTTGAAATTTTTGTTCTTGTCTTACTTTAGATGTCTCAATCCACAGTCTCTATCTGCTTATGAAGCTAATGAAGAGCTAAGTCTCCATGTTGCTATAGAAGGGAAGATTTACCTGACTGTTTGTTGCTCACCTGAAACCATTAGAGCAAGCAGTATGTCAGCTAGTGACAAATTAACAAAATGGGAAGTGGTTGGTGTTCAAGGAGCACTGCTGAGTCATTTCATTGAGCCAGTTTATATCAACAGTATTCTTGTAGGTAAGCTTAATGCAAATTTCAGTGTTTTTTTGGTATGTTTTCATGTTCCAGTTTGATTATGTTTTATAAAACATGAAGTAGATCCAGATGGTTCTTTAAAAAATACAGAATTTTTCTGGAAAAGAACTTAAGTATGTATAATTTTTTTTCGCTCTTCTCTGAAATGTTCTAATGTAAAACTCAATTAGGCTTGCTCTTTTGTCATTGTGGGGTTTTTTTTTAAGTTGCCAGATTGCCTTCCCTTTACTATGTATTAAACTAACAAGAAATTCAGCATTATTTTATTACAAACTAAATTTTAAATATTGAGGAAAATACTAAGAGTGACAAATGCTGTGTTAACTACTCAGTCAAATAGGGCGACTTTAAGGTGACAGAGTAAGTTACTTAACTGTTGAAATGAGCAGTGGTGGAAAAATGCTGCTAGTATTTAACTGAAAATGTCAGAATACTCAGTTTCACCCTGGGATATCTTAATAGCTCTATCAGAAAGTCTTTGGTTTTGTGTCGTGTCTGCGGTCCATGCCCCCATATTGGTTGATGGAAATGGATGTTTTGTTGAGGAACAGGGACTACAGAGGTGGTAGTGAATTCTCAGTGACAGTCAGGAAAGCCGTACTGTTATCAGAACTCACTTCAGTAGCTTGCATTTATGGGGTGGAATTAAATTAATCTGAATGTTTTCAGGTGTTTTTTCCTCTTGGTATGTGTCTTATAAGACTTAGTACACAGGTGTCCAAGTTTCCCAGGCATTGAAGCTGTAGCAGCTTTTCCTTTTCTAGCACAGAACAAGGTTTTTGAAGCATTACAAAAGATTTGGCAAGAACTGGTGAGTGCACGCTTGTTCCTTCTGAGGAATTTTGGGCACTTTTAGTAAGAAGCAGTAAAAAAACTTCTAATATGCTCACTTAAGTGGCATTCAAAGTAAACATGATAATCTATAATGTATTGCCCTTCTATCTAATAGAAATTCTATGACTGTTCCTTGAGATGCTGTCACCCAGAGTATGTTTATTTAGTAGGCAGTCAGAGATAGTGTTGGATATGGAGTTACATGAGCATACTACTCCCTAGTATGTTTTCTAATGTAGAACATCAAAGTTTGTGTTGCAACTTCTATTTTAATGGTGTCTTCTGCAGGGGATGTAAAGAGTTGGTGAAGAATACTTGTTCCAGAAATGATGCATCCAGTGAAACCAATGATGCCTCTGGTGAAGAAATTGTGAAATTATTTTTGTTCTGCAAACTGAATACTGGAACTGATTTTTCCGAACATTATTTTTGTGTAGAAAAATTGATATAACGTAGACAAATAGAAACAACTGCATTTTTAGCAGCTTTTTTTTTAAATTCAGTGTACTTGTACATGATTGATCTTGTTTTGTTTAATAGGAAATGGAAATTGCGAGAATACAAAAGGGCTAGAAATAACTATAAGACAGCGTGTTGACGATGCACTTACATCAAAGCTTCCCATGCCATATCTGGTCAACAGATCTCATACTTACTTGGTCAGTGCTGCACAGCCAGTTCAAAAAGAGGTTAGGCAGAGTTCTCTTAGTTTGAATTGGTTGTTGTCAGATGTATCACTGGAGGTTGTGGATGGATTAAATGGAAAAACCACGGAAAGGTTAGTGTTTTTCTTTATTATGTTGAAAATAATAGTTAGCCTTACTGTTCTGTGCCATTTTTTGACCTATGCATGGAGTGCGCAGCGTTACCTGAATGAGAGAGATTCTCTCCTGTGTTAGGGGAATGCATCCTAAGGTTAGATGTAGTTTTGGAGATCTTGGGATTTTACAATGAGATGCCAAGATACGAAATAGAGTAGTTATTTGAATTAAGATATCTTTGTTCCATTGTTGTAGTGAAAGTTTTAGTTGTCATGAGATGTAGATCTAGTTGGCATCCTAGTTCAGATGAATTACAGTTTGAAAACTTTTTGGGTTGGCTTGTTTAAATTCTCCCAGTTGCTGGCTTGCATTAGCTTTTGCTCATTGAAAGTGGAAGTAGAATCTTCTTATTGTATTCAGAAAACAGTGGAGGGGAAAACCAAAATCCTCTAACAATCAAAGCAATATAACTGTAATATATCTGTTACTGAGTTTTCTTATGCTTTTCTTGCTTTTACTATAGTTCACCATTCAGAAGTGGCAATCACATGGCAAGTCGCCTCTGCAAGGCGGCAATGTTTAGTCGTTTCAGATTGCTCGCGAAGGAAGCAGAACGGAATGATTTGCTTCAAGTTGCAAAGTACCACGAAGCTAAGGTAAGCTGCTGAGGGAGTTGGAATTTTAGTAAGGAGTCTTTTAATGGCTACTGTCAAAGCTGGTTTGATAGTCAGGGGTGACTTTCGAGTTTGCTGAAGACTTTACATGAACAGCTGGATTTCCTTTCCTTATAGTCTTTGCCTAAGAATGTCTGATATTGCTATTTTAAAGTAAAAATTAAACTACTGATTTAATTTTGAAATACTAGCTGAAAATCTTTCATGTTTTGTCTTAGCATGTGGAGGCTGCTGGCCATTTTCCTCACATAAGATAGTTTCATATTAAAAAGATTGGGAAAATATTGGTTTGTCTGTTAAATTTGTTTTCAGTCTTACTTCTTGTATGTGTCTCATATATATGTAGATATTTTTCTACCACAGTGTACTCTTGTGGGAAGATTCTTATGTCATAGAGAAGTAGGAATCACTCACAGGAAGGCAGCATTAGGTCCCAGACTTTCCTTTGTGGCATAAAAATACAGAGAAATTACTTAAAGGAGCTACTGTGGTTCTTGATTGCTGGAAACACAGTTTACTCCTGTCCATACTTGGAAATATGTAGACTCATCTTCCTTCTCTGTACTCTTCCAGGGTTTTCCCTTCCTAGGTTCAAGACAAATATTTTATTTCCAAAATCTTTGTGAAACTTAGCTTTTATAAAGTACATGTTCTTTTTTTTTTTTTTCTTCTCCTATCAGAACATGCAAGAGACCATTTTTGAAATGATTCAAAAACTATATTAAAATAGAGTGGCTTCCTAATTGACTGCTCACCATGTGTTTTGATTTGCATTGGATGATATTGAATGTTTATTTTCTGAGTAAAGATATTATTGGAAGTGAAAAGATGCTGAAAATAGTAATGTTTAACAGAACAATTCTTTCATCCCAGTAAATGCCCAAACATAGGAAAAGAGTGTATTTTTAGTCTGTAATGCATTCCCTCACTGTCGGCCACTGAGGGAGTGTAGGATTTGTAGGTACTGCTTTCTACAAGGTCTGTGCTTGTGCATATATATATATATGTATGTGCTAGTGGTAAAGAACACAGATCTCTGTAACCATCATTGTTCAGATGTTTCAAAATCAATCTTTCTTCTTTTTTTCAGATTCAATCTGAATTGTACCAAGAAGCCAAAAACTTATTCCACAGCTACTTGGAGCAACATGGTTATGGACCCTGGATTGTGAAGTCTCTGCAAATGGAGCAGTTCAGTGGCTGACTGCCAGGCAGGTTGTAGGTGAAGTCAGTATGGATGATTTATTTCAGTAACATCCAATTCTGATCAGTAAAATGTTTGACCGTAGGGCTTATATTTGCAACAAGAAAATTCCAGAGCTTCCTCTTGTCAATTTAAATGTAGTTATTAAACTATCTGTAACTGTTTAGTCTTTTCCAAAAGTTGATGTTTTCTAACAGGTAGGAGTATCGAACAGCTTTGCAAATCCTTTTCTGCTCTTGCACACCCTGTGGAGTTGTTGATACAGGGGTTTTTTTCCTGTTAGTTTCAGGAGTGCCATGTATTGATTTCTTCTTTTTCCCTTCTTTTTTCATAACTGTCTTTATGGAATAAAAAGAAATCAGTAAAAGTTGCACTTTTTTGAAATTTTGAAATTATTCAAAAACTATATTAAAATAGAGTGGCTTGTGTACCTGCAAACGTGAAACTTTGAATTACCAAGCTGTTACTCAACTGCTCTGTGACAATCACGGTTTTTCATGGTGGATTTAAAGTATTTTAAAGGTGTCAAAGCTGTAAATTACAAAATAGTGTGATGTAATACTGAAGTCACCAGAAACAAGGTTCCGTCAACTTTTGTGAGCTGCACCAAAAACCATCAGGTGTTCAGTACTTGCAGGTTAGTTGGACTCCTCCACCCACAGACTGCTTTATCACTGTACTCACAATTCCTTGCAAAATTGTCTGCATACATAATAATCTGAAAAATGTTGCCTATGGAGAGAGGAATGTTGCCTCCTTGTGAGTTACAGTAAGAATATGGTAACATTATAGTGATGTTTAGAAGGATGTTGTTAAGCACTATACTTGGGTTCTGTGTCGTGGTGTGAAATGTACACTTGCATTATGTTACTTGATTTTGTTGTTGTATGATACAGGTGTGGGAAGCTGTTATGTCATGTTTTCATACATCAGTAATAGTATAGTGCTGTAGTCATGTTTCAGCTGCTGACTGTCAGCAGATTGTGAAACAAAAACCTCCTTTCAGTATTTTTCTCCTCAGCCTGTTTTTCTAACTAGTACATAGAGACAATCTTCCGTTGATTTTTCAAGTTGTTGAAACTTGTGGACTTGTTACTACACTGCCCTTGACTTTTTTTTTTACTCTTCTGCTGTTTTGTTTTCTGTTAATTTTAACTTGTGAGAGGGTAGTCTGGTGGTTTGTTTTTTTTTTTGCCTTTCTGTGTCACATGGACCACATAATCTTTGCTCTGTGTACTTCTTTTCCAGGAATGCTTGAGAGTAGCCATCATTCCAGGCTAGAGGGTAGCGTTGCCTTTTTTCAGCGGTGTTAAAATTTCAATAAATTTCCTTGACAATGTGTTAACTTCTAGTTCTGTACCATTTTTCTGTATGGATTTAGACTGTTGCTGAGACACCATCACCAAGGTGTTTCCTGTACTTAAGCTAGAAGCCTTGAAGGTGTACAGGTGTGACAAAAAGAGGCTTGACTGCTTAGTACAAGCAAAGAATTTATTTGAACACCACCTGCAGATGCAATACACCACTATTGCAGGTTTTACAGATTCAGTGGAGAAATCCACTATTGCAACTTACAAGCAAGAATGCACTATTATTCACAGAATACGCTATCAAAACCCACAAGCTGTTCACGGAATACACTACCACGGTTCACAATCACACTGAATATTAACATGTGATGGTTAGTCACCCGTGCTTACATTCGTAAAGCATACTAAATCACAGACTATTAGGAGTTGGAAGGGACTGGGAAAGATCATCCAGTCCAACCCCCCTGCCAGAGCAGGATCACCCAGAGTAGGTCACACAGGAACACATCCAGGTGGGTTTTGAATGTCTCCAGAGAAGGAGACTCCACAACCTATCTGGGCAGCCTGGGCCACTGCTCTGTCACTCTCACAGTGAAAAAGTTGTTCCTTATCTTTACATGAAATCCTCTTATGCTCCAGCTGGCACCCATTGCCCCTTGT